AGACATGGGGAAATGGATAATTTGTTGGATATATTCTGCAAATACTAATAGCTACCAGAATGGACATTTTATTCAGAGGAAGCTCAGAAAAAATGAAGAATTATTTGTATTCACAATAATTAAAAAAAAAGAATGCGGGCAAATTCTGATGTTGAAATTCGTCTACTTACCAATCTAAACGCGATATCATGTTGTCTTTCTGTGTCAGGTACAGTCGTATTCAATAAAAAAGCGTACAAGTATTGAAAAGAGAAGAATTCGGGATCCTAGTTCTAGTTTTGTAGCTTCATTTCTACATAAACAGGACTTAAAAGTGGCATATAGATCAAATAACACGTAGGAACGGTTTATCAAGAATAATAAAGACAAAACTTCTAAATTCGAAAAATCAGGGGTATACAAACTCAAATGTGGATCTTGTCCTAAGGTATATATTGGTCAGACAGGTCGTACGTTTAATCAGCGCATTCATGAACATAAGATGAATTTTATGAAAAAGAAAACAAATTCAACATACGCCAACCATATACTAGAAGAAAACCATAGTTCTGATGATAATTTCGAAATTCTGCACGTTGAAAATAAAGGACTGAAACTCAATCATTTTGAATCATTAGAAATCAACAAACTTAAAAATTTTGACATTTTACTTAATGATGAATTAGACCTCAATAGTTCACCACTGTTGAATTTGTTTTCTTAGTAAGTAATAATATGTATTTGCTAGCAACTCTTTCAAGTTAATCCGGTATACCGTAATTTAATGTAGATATTGTGTCTAACTTCCGGAAATGGAGGTTTAACGTACCTGTCCACAGGTAACTAATCCTCCAGGTTGGGAAAGTAAGATATACAGGGTGGGCCACCAGTAACGCCTCGGTCTCTAGAAGGCTAACCACTTATCTTCTTGGAATTCTTCCTCTCTAGGAAGTTGCATGTCAACATAGGCTACCATTTAAAATTATTTCGAAACATACAGGGTGTCCCCAAAAACCATAAAACACTGAAGTTAAACTTTTTTCTATCGAACACCCTATATATTATTTCATTTTGAGATTCTCCCTGATGAGCTGATTTCAACGGCCCATCATACTTGGGGTCTAGCAGTTATAATTACTGAAATATAGGGTGTGAAAAATCGAGATTTTCCAAGTTCAAGAATTTTTTGTGTCGAAACTATTCATAATTGGTCAAAACGGCTCACATGTCCCTATCTCAACTTTTGATTAACTATCTACTGATATTGAATTGGGACATATACCGGGTGATCAAGATTCTGAATTCTGCACCACCTTGTATTTGTTTCAATTAAATGTCAGTAGATAGTTGATCAAAAGTTGAGATAGGGACATGTGAGTCGTTTTGACCAATTATGAATAGTTTCGACACAAAAAATTCTTGAACTTGGAAAATCTCGATTTCTCACACCCTATATCTCAGTAATTATAACTGCTAGACCCCATCAAGTATGATGGATTGTTGAAATCAGCTGATCAGGGAGAATCTCAAAATGAAATAATATATAGGGTGTTCGATTGAAAAAAGTTCAACTTCAGTGTTTTGTGATTTTTGGGGACATCCTGTATGTTTCAAAATAATTTCAAATGGTAGCCTATGTTGACATGCAACTTCCTAGAGAGGAAGAATTCCAAGAAGATAAGTGGTTAGCCTTCTAGAGACCGAGGCGTTACTGGTGGCCCACCCTGTATAAAAGTTAAACAAGCCAACGTTAGTTCAGTTCATTGTACCAGTATATCACCTGACGAAGCTACTGTGTTAGCGAAACATGTCGTGTGTTTGAGAATTTTGTGGAAATCTTATCTTTTGTGAAGTTTTTACACATTCCCTGTATTATTCTGAGTACTTTCCAACATTCTCTCAAGAGATGACTATAGCATTTTTCGCTTTTTCTTCTGGCGAGGATTGAACGATATATACCTACCCATATACCTACCCCATTTAACTTTGTCTGGATCTGGCACAGATTCTATCCACCCTTGTCGGAAGTCAATAAATCCACCATTATTCACACAAGCATCATTATTCGGTTCAACGAAGCTTTTATTACTCGGCATGTCTATTTTTTATCTGAGTTCTTGAATTATTATCGTTGCTTGAACTGATGGGGACATATTATGGATATTACTATGCATTTGAATGAGCTCCAGTTATCATCGGGGTAGTAAAGAAAAATGATACTGTATGTGCTGACTACAAGGCCTAAAGAATATAAAATCAATTGAGGAAACAAAAATCTCAAAACTGAGAGATTTTAGGTCAATTTCGTGAAGACAGTCTGTTTTAGCTTTGCCAAGGTTCATCAGTTGCACTAGGTCAGCTGACAATCGATTCACGAAGGGTACTACTATATATGGAGTAAACCAAATGCTCCGAAGGCACAGAATACCCAACGAAGGGTATCACGAAGTCCTTAGGAGCCATCTAATGGCAAAAGTACAAAGGTGTATAAGTAGATTGTTCAAAAAACCATACTTTGCGAGTAATTCGAATATAGACCCCTACGTTCATATTATTACAGGAAGGCAAAAATGTCACAGTCCGGCAGACTATCGCAACACCTGAAATTCTCACAGAGGTTTAGCGTCCCACCTATAGATGATGAGGAACCTAGAATCCCAATTGATCCTTGCGGAACACCAGCATTCATGATAAGAGAGTCAGATGAAACTCCGTCGACCACTACATAGAAAGACCTGTTCGAGAGAAAACTAGCTAGCAGAGAACATACCTGGGGAGGCAAGCCATAAGATGGAAGCTTGGCGAGGAGTCCGTGGTGCCAGACTCGATCGAATGCCTTGGAGACATCAAGTGCCACGGCTAAGGTTTCACCGTATTTTTCAATAGATTGCTGGCATATATGTGAGACGTAAGCGAGCAGGTCACCAGTTGATCTCTGATGACGAAAGCCATATTGCCTATCGTGGATATAACCTGAATGTTCCAGGTATTTCATGAGCTCGATGTTGATAGCTTTCTCCATGATCTTTGAAATAATAGATAGCAGTGCGATCGGTCTGTAGTTGCTAGGTAGGGTATTTTTGCCTTCTTCAGGAACTGGTTGTACTCTTGCAATCTTCCAGTTGGACGAGAATATCCCCAATATACACCTAGGTTCTTTTGCCACTAGATGGCTCTAAGGAAGGAAAAGATCGTCCTTCTTCCCTTCGGGGCATTTGATTTACCCTCTAATATATCTGGAATCGATTTGTGTCAGCTGGGTACCTGGATTATGACCAATAATCATACATTTTCTAGAAAAATGCTCAGCATAGCCGGATTCGAACCGACAGAACCTAGGCGTTATGAACGGCTACCGAACAGGCTAATTAGAGAGCCGTGTAGATAGCTCGGATACCGTGCTCATGCCTCCACAAACAGAATATCACTGATTTACCCTTAAAAACTGATCATGCGACTCAGAACCGAGACTGCTACAATGTTCACGAGCTTCAAAAAATGTTTTTGGCGAGTGTAACGCTATATATTGATTAAACGGTATTCAGATGACGATTGAAAAGTTATTGTTAACCAGCCTCACAAATAACAACACGATGTTGGGATTTTTATGTAGAATTACGAGGTACGTGGTTCGTTATTTCCTCGGAATCAAGATGTAATCTCTCATCGGGATTCCGAAAAATCTTGAACGAGAGGAGCCCTACCACTATTCTGATTGCTTTTTTGCTCTTATTTCAAAAACACTTGTATATGAAGTCAATCAAATGCCCCAGAGGGTAGGAGGATGATCTAGTCCTAAGAGCCATCTAGTGGCAAAAGTGCAAAGGTGAATAAGTAGATTGTATACACAAGCGGACCTTGCAAGGTTTGGTTGTTTACCTACGACCACTATAGCAAGTAGGCAAGGACACACGAGATACAGCCTCAGTAGTGAGCACAACGCACAGTTTTCGTTTATTCCGCTAGTTTAGGTATGTACGTCACGATCGCGTAATCGTCGTCAACAGCGGATGACATACCTGTCAATAATTAAACTTTTTTGATGAACTATATGGCAGTAGGTGAAGTAAGCAATTACGCACTAATGGAATTACGCACTCGGTGCGTAATATGCTTCTTAAAACACATATTTCGTGATATACTATTAAAAAATCTACTTATACACCTTTGCACTTCTGCCACTAGATGGCTCTTAGGACTAGATCATCCTCCTAACCTCTGGGGCATTTGATTAAAATCAATTGGTTTTTAAATTTTATTCCCTGCATCTCTTCAACATCTTTTATTCATCCTATGGGTGTTGAATGATCAGTTTTCAATGTTGAAATATAGTAAATATCATAACTTCGATTTCTAGACAAATAACAACTACTAAAAAAAGCATATCATCATGGCAATCTTTAGTTTTCTCCAACAATGGGCATGTGACATGTGACCCAATCACCCCTACATATCCGGCGCCTATGTTCTTGATAGTCTTTGATTTCCTCCGGTTTCAATTTGATTGCGTTTTCGTCGCAGTTGAAATATTAATGATCACTTACTCAAATTATAATGAAGATCACGTAACGTGACGTCGTTAATTCGGTTCATTTGAGTGAAAACCGAGATGGCATCTTATCCCATTACCAAAATACATGCGGAACCTAACGAAAAATGAGTACCTAATTTTATATCCACCACGTGTCGAGGCTATTGGCCAATTTCAAGGTCATCAGATGATTCGTAATGACATTTAGCAGTAGAAAAAAACATGTCTGACTTCATTGTCTCACTTTCGATCTATGCCAGAAGTTGGAAATGTCACTTCTTGTCACTTGTCATTTGTCTTGTCATATAGCATGTCAATAGTCGTGGAGCATTTACTTCAAAAGTGGGTAACTTACGTATTGGTACTCCATCGTAAAATATGATTTACCTAGGAATATATTCATCATCCTTGAAAATTGATTCAATTGATGAGGAACAAAGATCATGATCATAAACCTCAAGAAAATGATCAACATCAGCGGAAAAAACAATGGTTATGATTCATGAATCTATTATAATATCAAAGTAGGTAGTGGGTACATTAAATTATACATTATAAATTATAACGAATAATGAATTAGGAAATGACCTGCATACTAGAATAATGATAAATTCGACATTTTGAAAATTATTTTACTGAATCTGCAATACATAGTACGAAAAAACTCTTGAACCTTTTAGATAGTAGGTAGCTTCCGTGGTTTTGCATTGATTCATTTTCTTCTGAACGAACTATACAATTCACTTGTTCCAAAGAAAAGAACTAGAACTGAAAGTTCAGAAAGTCACCAACTCACCGAATGTTTCAGTAAACGCTTAAAAGTTTTAGTTAAGTTGTCTGCTTTTCCTCTCCATTTCCAATCAAGACTCGACATGTGAGCTTATTTAAAATCATCCAGATCGATTTCATTTCGCTATCGATCTTCGACTCCCATGAAGTTGTTTCAAAACAGGTATCTTGTGATTGACACTATCATTTTTGTCCAATCGGTAATTCAATTGAACTATCACAGTGTGCCCTTCTTGCTCAGCCAGCTGACAAGCCGTCAGTCCCATTTTATTCATACAGTTCAAGTATTTCTTGCTATACAGAGCGATAAAACCTCTGGTATTTCCCACAGCTGCAGCAATATGTAAAGGTAAATCCCCACAGTACGTTTTCAAATCACTTCTAGCTTTATTCTTCAGTAACAGCTCGAGAACTTCCACTCCATTGAAGTTTCTCGCAGCCAGATGCAACGGAGTATAGTCATCGTGATCGGCCAGATTTATATCCGCTTGATTGTCCAGCAATAGCTTCACCATAGCTGCGCTGTTTGCTTCCACAGCTGAATGCAGAGGAGTGGATCCTTCACAGTCTTTGGCATTCACTTCTAGACCATGAGAGATGAGAGTTTGACAGATGGTTTGGTCCATTTGTTTGACAGCAAGATGGAGGAGGGTGCTATTGTTATGGTCCCGAATGCGAGTATTGGCATTGCCTTTGATTAGGAGATTGAGCATTGACGAATTGCTGGTCTTGATGGCCAGCTGTATTGGTGTCTCACCTATAACAAATTCAATGTTAACAAAGCACAATACAGGGTGTCCGGAAATTATGCGCAAAAAATCGAGGGGGTAATTCTGCATGAGAAAACATGAGATTTATTCCATATATACTCGTGTCCGGAAATGCATAGTTTTCAAGATACAGTGTGTCGAACTTTTCAGAAAAAATCGGTTATTTATGAATATCTCAAATATCCTTACACCGATTATATCTGAATTTGGCAATGATATTCTTTGTCATGAGGGGCTGATTCATCCATAATTGAATTGGAATTGTGAAATCCAGTGGCGTCCCGGGGGCACCCTACCGAATATTATTGTCAATAAAATGTGCGCCACTGATTTTTTCGAATTCTACATCGTCATATCCTAATGATCAACTAAGAATACAACATTTTGGTCTCTTCGATTGTTTTGCAATTTTGCTGCGTTTCCGTGGAAAAAAATAAATACCAATTCATTGTATGAATTTGTGCAAAACAAAGTTTCTAAAACAGGGGTGAAATTAAATGTGTGATCCATGTCCATGGACGTAGAATAAGAATGAAGATTCCTTTTCTTGAAATATTTCATATTACATGTTTGACATACTTTGTATTATCGAAAACTGCGCCTCCCTGGAGCGAGAATACATAGTTCTCTATATACAGAGTGTAGAGTGTGTCAAACATGTATCAAGAAATATTTGAAGAGAGTGAATCTTCATACTTATTCTATGTCTATGGACATTGATCATGCATTTATTTTCACCCCAGTTTTGAAAGAAATTTTTTGGCACAAATTCATGCAATAAATTGGTATTTATTTTTCCCATGGAAATGAAGCAGATTTTCAGAACAATTCAGGAGACCAAAAAGTTGTATTTTCAGTTGGTCAATAGTTTATGAAGATGAAGAATTCAAAAAAATCAGTGGCGCACATTTCATTGACAATGATATTCGCTAGGTTGCCCCCTGGGACGCCACTGGCTTTCATAATTCCGATTGAATTATCGCTATATCAGGCCCTCATGGCAAATAATATCATTACCAAATTTCAAGATAATCGGTGAAACAACATTTGAGATATCCATAAAAAACCGAACTTTTTTAAAAGTTCTTACACACTGTATGTTGAAAACTATGCATTTCCGGACCCACGTACATATGAAATTAAATTCTTATTTTAACATGTAGAATCACCCCCTTGATTTTTTGCGCCTAATTTCCGGACACCCTGTATACACTTCTATGAGGTAGATATTGGAGAGACTATTATAGGGGGACAAAATTGTTAGGAGGAGACAATCTAACTGTTGTAGTCAGAAGATCAATTTATCGCTAACACTTTATTTTTTTATGTTCTGGTTCTCCCGAAAAGGGGTATCCTGTAATATTCAGAGAACATCGTGAGAACCAAGGGAAATAAGGTAGGCAATACATTTCTGGAGATCATATGCTTCGGGGAACTATGCAGAGACTTCGTTGCTTGGTATTACTATCAGCAATAACCTTTCTTGGGAGAATCACGTGAGATCAATTGCTAAAAGTGCATCCCAAAAACTTGTTTTTCTGTTTCGGGCCTGGAGCTATTTCACTTCCAGTCAGCTGCTTATGATCTATAAGGCACAGATCCGACCCGTCCTGGAATACTGTTTCCATATTTGGTGTGCAGCACCCAAACATACCCTGAAACTGTTGGATTTTGTCCGAAAAAGGGCAATTCATCTCGTGGGTGATGCCTCACTCACTAACTGACTCACTCCTCTGGAACACCGTAGAAAAGTTGGCGATCTGGCCTATTTTGTAGATATTTTCATGGACGATGCTCTTCTGAAATATCAACAATTGTTCCTCCCATAGCAGTCCCCGCGAGATTAACCCGTCGAGTTGAGGCTCCGCACCCTTTCGTGGTCACTTTGAAGACCTGCAAAACATCTCTTTCCAAAGACTCGTTCATCCAACGAACAGCGAGGCTCTGGAACACATTGCCATGGGAGGTGTTTCCCGAGGCATATAATCTCCAGAAATTCAAGAAGAACACCAATTCCTACCTCATTTCCCTTGGTTCTCACGATGTTCTCTGAACATTACAGGATATCCCTTTTCGTGGGAACCAGAACATAAAAAATACCAGATATAAAAAGGGATAGCTGATCCTAATTCTCACTCAGATATTCCACAACTTCTGTTCTCAAAAACATATCGCCTGCCAATGAACAATCATACTTTGGACAAGAGAATTCTGGAATTCATCTCAAGGCTGACGATAATGAGTGTATCTACTAACTGAGCTTATCGAGATCATTCAACTGGTATTCCTGATAATTAAAAGCCACCATGAAGGTGAGAACTATGGAAAAACTTATCCATGACGAGGGACCAACTTGAGTGAAACCTTCCTGCTTCTACATAACACAGGGTTTCAGATTTGAATGTATGATACATGCAGATAGAGGACATTCTCCAAATCACACCCACTAATGTGTCTTCTGTCTTTTATGACTGAGATACAGGACGTTACCTCAATTTTGGAAAATCTTTGGCAAAATCCCGATAATATCCTTGAACGAGCTTCACAAGCGTCCCCGAATCTATTCCCAGTGAAATCCAGGTGTAATTCCAAGTTTTTTCATCCCTACAACTGTGAAAATAAAGATGTTCCAAGTTTCTTTTCTGTCTTTTTTATTTAATATTTTATTATTACATTTTTATGTTCAACGAAGTGTAATGAAAAATATCGTTCATTACACGTCGAGAAATGATTTTCCGTATTTGCATGACTTCCGGTGTTCGGCTTCGCCTCATCTAGAATTTGTCACACGTGCACGGAATGATCCCTATTTCCAGACACGTAATGAAATATACTATTTTCGAGTTATATTAGAAAAATCAACTGTGGATCTTGCCCTGTATAGGTATATATCGGTCAGACAGGTCGTACGTTTAATCAGCGCATTCATGAACCTGAAATGACTTTTTTGAAATAGAAAACAAATTCAACATACGCCAACCATATATTGAAAGAAAACCATAGTTTTGATGACAGTTCCGAAATTCTTTACGTAGAAAATAAAGGCATTAAACTCAATCATTTTGAATCATCAGGAATCAACAAACTCAAAAATTCTAACATTTTACTCAATGATCAATTAGACCTCAATGGTTCACCACTGTTGCATTTGTTTTGTCAGTGGGTAATTATATGAACACCCTATCTCAATGTGGATGGTTTGAGACTTACCTTACAGGTCGTCAACAATATGTCAAAACATCTCAAAGAAAGCACTTATCAAACGTGGTGTACCGCAAGGTACAGTTTTTGGACCACTGCTATTTTTACTGTATGTGAATCAAACAGTTATTTTAGACATTGAAGGTGAAATCACTTTATTTGCTGACGACACCACTATCCTCTGGCAAGAAATGAGTGAAGCTGTACTGCACACAACTGTTATGAACGATATTGGAGTAATTAAAGACTGGTGTGATTCAAATCTACTATCGCTCAATATGAAGAAAACGAATATCTTATTCTTCCATTAAAATCTACCAAATTTAGGTACGGGAAGTGAATAAATATAAAATAAATCATCGACCAAGTTTTTAGGTTTATACATTGACAAAAAATCAATATTCAATGAACATGTAACAAGCATCTCACATGTAACATTCATGTGTAGAAAGTTAGCCTCTGGATGCTTCGCTGTTAAAACTATTGCTGCAGAATCAGGATTTGTGTCTACTAGAGTTGCATTCTTTGCCCTCATCGAATCTCATTTGAGATATGGAATTGCATTCTCTGCAGTGATCAGCTATTCCAGAGGAGTTTTGTCCTATAAAAACGGGCCCTAAGATATATGTGTGGAGCTAAATCAAGGAACTCATGTAGACATCCATTCAAGAATTGTGGCATCCTGACAGTAGTTGGCTTATACATCTTGGAAACAACGGCTCTGATACGAAAAAACATAGCTTCTTTAGAGCTTGTTTCATCACATTACAACACAAGACAGAACGGACAAGTTGAATTGATAAGACCCCGTACCAAAGACACAAAGATATTCAATCATTTGTCAAATCATATCAAAGACATTCCGTGTAACAAAAAATTCCGGACCAAGATGAAAATAGACTCCTCCGAGGAATATCTTTCACAGAGACTCAAAAATTATGTATTCCTTTCTTTCCTGATTAGTTCTTGAAAGAATCGTTTTATACAACATATACTCTTGAAATATTTGACTATGGCTTTATAGGAGCTCTCACATGTGATAGTTTTATTATAATATTTTATATGTTTTATTATTGTCTATCTTTGTTGTTTTTATTTTCAATTTTTAACTAATGCTTCATACGAGCTTTTGATTGTATATTTTCAAATGTGTTTCAGAAAGCTTCACATTTTGAATAACATATTGTTTATTATATTTCATTTAAAATATGTATATGTACGAGCTTTGTCAACAAATACGAATGTATTTATGGCAATAGAGCATATATTGAATTGAATTGAATGGATATTGTGCCTATTTTCCGAAAATGAAGGTTTATCGAATCGTCCCACAGGTAATTCTCATTCTTCAGGTTATGAAAGTTTCTGTTTGAATTGGTAAATTTGTAAAAAAAACCGGAACCGGACGTGAATCGTAACAGTTTTTTCTTTATGTTCTGGTTCCCACGAAGAGGAATATCCTGTGATGTTCAGAGAACATCGTGAGAACCAAGGGAAATAAGGTAGGAATTGGTGTTCTTCTTAAATATCTGGAGGTTATATGCCTCGGGGAACACCTTCCTTGGCAATCTGTTCCAGAGCCTCGCTGTTCGTTGGATGAACGAGTCTCTGGCAAGAGATGTTCTGCAGGTCTCCAAAGTGACCACGAAGGGGTGCGAAGCCTCAACTCGACGGGTTAATCTCGCGGGGACTGCCAAGGGAGGAACAATTATTTTGATATTCCAGAAGAGCATCGTCCATGAAAATATATATAAAATAGAGCCAGATCACCAACTTTTCTACAGTGTTCCAGAAAAGTGAGTGAGTTTGTGAGCGAGGCATAATTCACGAGACGAATTTCCCTTTTTTGGACAGAATCCAACAGTTTCAGGGTATGTTTGGGTGCTGCACTCCAAATATGGAAACAGTATTCCGGGACAGGTCGGATCTATGCCTTGTAGATCTTAAGCAGCTGACTGGAAGTGAAATAGCTCCTGGCCCGAAACAGAAAACCAAGTTTTTGGGATGCACTTTTAGCAATTGATCTCACGTGATTTTCCCAAGAAAGGTTATTGCTGATAGTAATACCAAGCAAGCATCGAAATGGATGTCTTCAAAGGTATGGTCACTCCTGACAGTAGTAAATACATCAAATCACCAATAGAATAAGTTCCTTACCACATCCAGATACGACGTTCGGATCTTGACCAACCCCCAACAAAACTTCAACTAACTCCTCATCATCGTACGCCACAGCTAAATGCATCAACCTCTCGTCGATCTTATTAGCGTTATTAACTACGGCGTGACAAGAGATGAGGAACTTCGTCAGCTGTTTGTTGCCTCCCCGCACGGCCTTGAACAGGGGAGTTTCGCCGAGGAAGTCGACGGAGTTGAGTTTGGAGTTGTGCGCCAGCAGCAGCTTGGCCAGATCTAGGTGGCCGTGCTCGCAGGCGGAGTGGAGGGGGGAGGCTCCTTTTCCGTTCAGGATGTTCGTGTAGGCGCCGAGGGATATCAGCTTTTTCGCTGTTTCCACGTTACCTGCGGAAATAAACTCATTTATAATAATGATAACGAACTTTCTCATTTTGAATAGAACATCCTGTACTTTATTGGATTTTCAGATTCTTCTTGAAGAGCTGATTCTATCGATCTATCACACTTGGGGTCTAGGGGGAATGATTACATAGGTATGGGGTGTTTGAAATCTAGATTATTCAATTCATTATTCCAAATTTTTTGGGATTTTCTCTCCTCGTTTCTATAAAATAAAAATATGAATATTATTTCAATATACGTGTAGTAAGGACAAATCAGATGATTTGCCCCAAAATGTCACTGCGTTTAAAGAATTTTCCTATCAGAGAGCCTAAAAGAAAAATTCACTAGCTTGTCAGTGACAATTTGTATTGAAAAATTTTTGGAGAAGAGAAATAAAGGTATATAGAAAAAATATCAAATTTTCACTTATCTTTGGACGTTTTGGGACCGATTCTGCTCCCGTTTTCAACATAAAGAGATTTTTTCAATTGCGAAGTCGTATTATATGTCTTAAAAAAATCTCTTTATGTTGAAAACGGGAGCAGAATCAGTCCCGAAACGTCCAAAGATAAGTGAAAATTTGAGAGTGAAAAGGAGAGAAAATCCCAAAAAATTTGGAATAATGAATGTACCACCTCCTCGATTTACCTACAGACAGTATTCAGATTATTCAACTTTAGGATTTTTTTGAGTTGAAAAATCTAGATTTTTAACACCCTATACCTATGTAATCATTCCCGCTAGACCCCAAGTGTGATAGATCGATGAAATCAGCTCTTCAAGGAGAATCTGAAAATCCAATGAAGTACAGGATGTTTTATTCAAAATAAGGAAGTTGATAAAAATCCAGAATAACTGAAAAGGTGGCAACATTGGCTATAACATTTGAAATGACACAGTACATGAATTCAAAATATTCCAACAATAGGTTTCTGAGATATTCAGCTGTTTCATACATACCCTGTATGTATAATATTGATGATGGCAGGAAACTTTGGTATAGTCACTTGAATTATGCATGTTAATTTCGCTATATGTATCTACATATACAGTATGATGCAAATATATGGAATAAATTCATTTCAAAACAAGACGACTTCCGAAAAAAATCCAAAAAGTAGAGTTCAGAACTTTTTTATCGATGTATTTTTTCAACTAGACGACCCTTCGATGTTCAATTCTCAGTAGAAGATCTCTGCAAGATTCAGTTGACCAAATGATAATCCATTTTAATTTCAATCTTCTTTTGCAAAATTTTGACTATTGGATAGACGATCAGTAGACCTTTCAAACGAGGTATCACATGACCCCTGTTTGTATTTAAAAAAACCGTCCATTACGTCATTACTCCAACACCGTTGACGTAACATCTCTCATATGAATGTCATGAGATGAGGTTTCAAAAATTAAAACTCACGTGTTTTTGGAATTTCTTCAAATGTCGCCCATTTCTGAAATAATGAATTTATTCCATACATTTGCATCATACTGTATATGAAATCAGTCTGGTGTTCCACCAACATTTCAGGAAACATTGCAAAGCCATTTTTTTGTTGCTCAAAAATCAGGAAGGTATTTTCCTTATATTTCTTGGCAAGAATAGCTCGTAATTTTTTGAAATCGGAAAATTTGAACAAAAATCAATAAGATCCTAAACTGAAAATAGAAATGACTGGGAAGGAACAAAAAATAGAGTAGGATCTGAAGAAGTTGTTCAATTGTCTAGCAATCATTTGGAATTGAAAAAAGTATCTTCCTTTTCGATTTCTCAATCTTTCTCATAGAGAACTCATTTTTGGAGTTCCATAATCAATAATTACAATAACTGTAGGAAAAATGACAGCCCCCTTCCCGACCCCTACTGTACGCCGCTGTTGACAGTTAACCTGAATAAACTACAATCTATCACAGAGCAACTACAAAATGATTTACCTTACCTGCCGATGCCACATAATGTAATAGACTGTTGCCATTACGATCCTGAGTGTCTACACTGAAATCATAAATATCCAGGTTGTCCAGAGCTATATTCAATACTGAAATGCAACCATTTCTAGCCACTTCAAACAAATCAAAATCCATAAAAGAAAATTCGAAGTTATCAGCATCCATCTCCACTATCGCATATCTTTACTGTATGTACACCTACTGATTTGAATTATTTGTTGATATCTACTGATAAGGAAGACAGTAGCGGAACTGATATAGGCATACCTGATGTATACAGGCTGTATCTAAATAACACCAAAAAACCGAAAAAATTCGAGGTGTGATTCCTTGTGAGGAAACACCCTCCATGTAACATTCTAGCAAACGGAGCAAGTTCGGAGACCATGTTTATATGAAATTTATCTCGTAAAATATCACAAGGAATCACACCTTGAATTTTTTCGGTGTTATTTAGATACACCCTGTATACAGATTGAATTCTTATTTGGATTCCATGAACGAAATAGACGAGATATTTCATTTGTGGAGAAAAACCCGTACAAAAAACATGTATCCATAGTTGGTTGAGAAGGCATGTAAATATATGCTGTTATTTCTTCTAACCTGCCACGTTTTGGCATTATATTGATTGTTTTCCTCTGGAGTGGAATATATACGAGAAATATGTTGAGTAAAATATAGATGTTCCGAGGTATTCATGAAAATGAAATAATAAGTATACATATATGACATTTATTGAGACATTTATAACCTTTATTCCTTCTCTTTAGGTAGGTACCCATCTAATTTAAAAATGAGCAAAAGGACCTCAGATGTGGGACACATCTTGAACTTTTATTTGAATAAAAAATAGAAATGAAAAAGAGAAGAAAAAATGAATCTCGAGACTTTGGTGGTATATTCATATTCAAACATGTCAAAGCTGAGTTCCGGAGCGAGATACATCAACGATTTTTTTTTATGTTCTGGTTCCCACGAAAAGGTATATACCGTAATGTTCAGAGAACATCGTGAGAACCAAGGGAAATAAGGTAGGAATTGGTGTTCTCCTGAAATTTCTGGAGGTTATATGCCTCACGGAACACCTCCCTTGGCAATGTGTTCCAGAGCCTCGCTGTTCGTTGGATGAACGAGTCTTTGGAAAGAGATGTTCTGCAGGTCTCCAAAGTGACCACGAAGGGATGCGAAGCCTCAACTCGACGGGCTCATCTCGCGGGGACTGCCAAGGGAGGAACAATAATTGTTGATATCTCAGAAGAGCATCGTCCATGGAAATATCTATAAAATAGAGCCAGATCGCCAACTTTTCTACGGTGTTCCAGAGAAGTGTTTGTGAGCGAGGCATCACCCTTTTTTGAACAGAATCCAACAGTTTCAGGGTATGTTTATGTGCTACACTCCATATGTGGGAACAGTATTCCAGGACAAGTCGGATCTGTGCCTTATAGAACATAAGCAGCTGACTGGAAGTGAAATAGCTCCTGGCCCGAAACAGAAAACCAAGTTTTTGGGATGCACTTTTAGCAATTGATCTCACGGGATTTTCCCAAGAAAGGTTATTGCTGATAGTAATCCCAAGCATCGAAATAGATGTCTTCAAAGGTATGGTCACTTCTGTCAAGCTTATATTGGGTACAGTGATATCGGCTTTTCTAGAGAAGAGGCATGCAAATTAACAAAAACTGACTATTTTTCAAGAGTTTCGATCTTTGCTTGAAGTTACTGAGTGTATAAGAATATAGTCTGAATTCATTGGGCAACTGTTCGGAAAACTCAGCAGCAGTGTATGAAAAACATCTTGTGTATATGCAGAAGAGCGAGGAGGAATGACAAGACCGTGTCTATTGCGTTTGCAAAGGTATTGAAAATGTTCTCAATTTCTCGTGAAGATATTTAGGAGATTCATTCACTGAAATTTCGTGAGTGATTGACAGCAGATGTAGATTTTGTAGATCGTTCATCCTGAGCCAACCAGAGTTACTGAATTCTGTACTAATGGATGATCAGACTTCGAGAGTGCTGGACCGTAGATGGTATCACAATAAGAGAGTTGTGACGTTATCAATGCTTCGTGAAGAGAGCTTCAATTGCTTGGAGAGCAAGTGTCTGTTAGGAAATAGTTGTCTAAGAATGTTGAAGGATGCCTGCCGAAGATGAATCACATGTTTGTTGAATCTCAGCTCTTAGTCGAGCCATTAACCTAGATTCTTGCATTCTTTCTTAAAAGACCCGATTCAAGTGTCTTATGTTTCAATAGTCGGAAGTCATTCCTCAAGTAGATCGGTGTTATCTGGGGACTATACAGGAGTATGAGACTGCTCTTATACTTTGTGATGGGAGGCCAAAAATGTTTTATTATAGAAACATACTCCAGCAATAGTCATAAGGTATTACCTGGAGAATGAAATCTGGATTCTTCCACAAAAGACTCTCGGATATGAATCCAACAAAGACTGGAGAGTAATGTTAGGGGAGACAGGTTCTATAAATCACAGACTCAAGAACGGGGAAATCTGATTGTAGAACTGAAAATGTTATCGAACGAGAAGTAAGGAATTTAGTGAGAAGAAGAAAAAGAGGACTGTTTCCGTGAGAAAGCTATCTCGACATTGAGGATTAGAGAAGTTCATCCTCGTTGCCGATGTTTCTTCGTGAAAAATTCTGACTCGTTTTTCTGAATGTCCGGAATGTCGCTGTGGTGGTCTTTTCGACATAGATACAGTGTGTGCGATTCCAACACCCGCAACATTCTCATTGTCCTAGATTAAATTCAAGTAGAAGAGTCTGAGTTAGCAATTGAATGCATCTATTAACTATCCTATCATGCTTAGTAACGAATCATCAGTGGGATCAGGAAGCATCCAATTCAGGCGGCAGAAAATGTTGATTTTTCTTCCATTCAATGAATAATCACCAAGAAGTTTCGTCATAGTTTCGTATCTGAGCTACCCCGTGACAAATAATTGATGCCAGAGCCCGTGTAATATTAGATGATCAATTATGTAGATGAAACCCACACACGTATACACGTATCCCTTACTCATTGTTCTTGTTCCAGACCATGTGATCGCAATGTGAAAGACGTGGAGCTAATTTGCGCCCGATTGCGACGAGTAGAGCAGTTGTGTCGACTTCCAAATTCTGTGTTGCAGCAACTGGCTCTCTGCGGATATTACGAGGATCTCGAGAAAGCTGTCACACGTAAGTCAAAGTTTAGATCTTAGATTGTATCTCACACGAGAAAAATGGTCCAAGTAAAACGTTTTCTTGACTCGTTTATTCGTATTGTGATAAGAAAAATGATACCTATTACAGAAACAATTACCTTTCGCCTCTATAAAATTGATAATTCTGAACGCATGAACTTGTAGCTATAATATCATCCACCTACAGCTAATAGTATTCATCCTAGATAATTCACTTTCTATAGTCCTAGGTTGTTAATGTGTTTTATTATTTTGCAACACCCAATATCCATGTAATTGCAGTAGCTTATGATTACTTTTGTTATAGATGAAAAACAAGAAAAATAGTTGTTGACAAAAACTGTCAGTTGAAAAAAAAATAAATGTATGTCAATCAATTGAATATATAATTGTAATCAAGAATATTTATTCATAATATATATCAGGACTCCAAATCAGTTTCTTTCAATCGATTCATTAAACCTCAAGAGGTTATGGGCCCAGATCACTAACCAGAAGAAAGAAGCTGTGCTGCTAGCGTATTTAGTGAATTAGTTTCAACGCTTCAGTTGTAATCAAAGAATCAGTTTCTTGTGTAGATTTGGAGTAATAATTATATAATGGCAGATAAAATTGATGTCGCAAACATCAACAAGTTCGACGGCAGAAATTATCAACAGTGGAAGTTCCAGATAAAATGCGCTCTCAGAGCCAAAGGGATCTTTGGAATAGTTGATGGAAGCATTGAGATACCGCTACCTGCTGAAACTCAACAATTGGAGACTTGGTTAAAAAATGATGCAGTTGCGATGTTCACTCTCACCACAGCTATGGATTTAACGCAAATAACTTTAGTGGAAAATTGCAATACTTCTAAAGAAATCATTGAAAAACTGGATTCTATATATCAGCAAAAATCTGAAACCAACAAGATGCTGGTTCATGAAAGATTCCACCAATATAAAATGAATCAAAACGAGTCCATTGCACAGCATATTGCAAAAGTCGAAAATCTTGCTCGAGAAGTAAGAGAAGCTGGTGAAACTATAAGTGAAGCTGCAGTTATGACCAAGATTCTCAGTTCTCTACCTATGAAATACAGGAATTTGCGTCAAGCTTGGTTATCTCTAGAAGCAAACAGGCAAACAATTCCGAATCTAACTGCAAGGCTTCTGGATGAAGAAGCAAGTCTTTCATCATATGAAGAGATGGATACTGCTCTTGTTGCTTTATCTCTCAATAACAAATCTAATATAGTGAGAACCCCTAATATATCGTGCTATTTCTGTCGTAAAAGGGGACATTTAGCTAGAGATTGTAGAGCAAAAAAATGGAGAGAGATGCAAGAGAGAGAACAGAATCATGAAACAAGACCAAGAGTTTTGAATAACAATTCAAAAGATGAAAATGACTCTAGTTCCAGTAAGAGTATGGCAACAGCATTCAATACAGAGGAAATAACATCCTGTAATCAAATTGAATATGGTGAAGATTTTTGGATAATGGATAGCGGGGCATCTGCTCATATGACCTTCCGGAGAGAGTATTTCTCGTATTTTGAAGAAGACAATAAGGCCTATTCAGTTGTATTAGGAAATAATCAGAATTTGACTGTTAGAGGCAAGGGCATAGTCAAAATACAAAAATTGATAAATGGAATTTGGTATGAATCTACAATAAATGATGTTCTTTACATTCCTGACCTCCGGAAGAGTTTATTTTCGGAAGGTGTATTAACGAAAAAGGGAATGAAGATAATAAAAGAATATAATGAAGCTGAAATCTATCTTGATGATGAATTAGTCGCCTGTGCAGTTCGTGAGTCAAATAATCTTTATCGAATGTTATTTCGTACAATAAACATCCAGATAAACATTGTGACTGAAGATAATATCATACTGTGGCACGAACGTCTCGGACATATCAATGCAAAATATGTCAAAGAAGTTATGTCAAATGGACTGGTAGAAAATGTCAAACTGGCAAGTGTTGATACTGAAAACTTTTTTTGTGAAGGGTGTGCA